ACCTTCATAGCAACAACCTAAGAGATTCGGCCAGAGGTGTTGAAGACAGTATGCAGGGTTGAGACTGAGTGGTTAATATGCGTCTTCAATGTTGCATGGAATTCAAGGGCAGTGCCATTTTACTGGCACACAGTTGTGTGTGATTTCTTTTCTTTTTTTTTTTTTTTTAAATGGGACCAGAAAGTGTGTTCCTCTTACAGTTGAACCTAGGATTCATAAGGAGTAATGAAGGTTCTGCACAGACTGTGGATTAATAGAAAAGCTTTTTAATGGACAAGCTTTTTCTAGCACAGCTTTGTATGATATCATAGGAGCATGCTGATTCCTGCAGTCTACATGTGTTTTGTGGATTTGAAGAACACCTATGATCATGGACCTTGCCATTTGTTGTAGGAGGTACTGCAGGAGTACGGGGGAATCTGAGTCACTACTTTGTGTACTTCATGAGTGCTGTGAGAGTTGTGTCTGTGTTCTTGGCATTCAGGCAAAACTGCTTAAGGTGGGTGTTGGATTCTGTCATAGGTCTGTCTTGTCTCCACTTTTTTGTTTTTATGCACAGGGCATCAAGGTGCAGTCAAGGTTGGAGAGTATGGAGAGCTAGAGGTAACATCTCTGTTGCTTGCAGGTGATACCATCTTGGCAACATCCAAAGCACCTGGGAAAAGAATCAGCACCTCCAAGTCAGAGGCCATGATTTTTTGTCCTGGAAAAGCATTTGGTTCTCCCTTTAGGTGAGAGGAGATACCTTGCCCCTGATTGAGGAATTTACGTAACTTGGGATCTTATTCATAAATCATAGAAAAAGTGAGTGTGAGATTGACAAAAGGCTTGGGTTAGCAGAAGTAGTGTTTTAGTCGCCAATGGTGAAGCAGGAGTTCAGTTTTCAGGAGTTTCAGGTTTCAAGCTCTCACTTTACTGGTTTATCCTTATCTGTGGTCACAAACTGTGGGTAGTGAAAGAATAAGGTCATGAATACAGGCGGCAGAAATGAGGTTCCTTGGCTGGGCTCCTGGGCTTACTCTCCATGATAGGGCGAGGAGCTCAACAATCTAGAAGGGCCTCAAAGTGGAGCTGCTGCTCCTCCTAATTGAGATGAGCCTGTTAACATGGTTTGGGTACCTTATAAGGCTGTACCCTGATCTGCACGTGCTAGAGCGATATCAGGCATGTCCCCCTGGACAGACCCCAGGGTAGACCCAGGACCTCGTGAAGGGACTATATCTCACAGCTGGCTTTAGAACATGTGGGGAGTAGGAATACATTGATGGGGATATTCTAGATGCACATTCTCAGCCTGTTGCCACCTCAACTCCTAGCAGGAGATGCAGAATAGAAAATTAATTAATTAATTAATTAATTAATTAAATCAAGAATAATTTCATTTTGTTTCTTATTTTAGTTTTAATGGCTTGCACTGATTTTAATTTATGAATTTTCTGTGCAGATTCTCATGAAACATGCGATCTAGAGCAGGGAGTTTGACCCTGCCTTACCTCTTAGCTTAAGAATCCCTTAATAAAACTCCCTTTGAGCAATTTTGTGAAGTTTTAAGAAGAAACACTCAAACCAAATTATTTGTGACTGTGGCCCCTGAGTCATACAATACAGGGTGTGAGTAAGTGGGTGAGTGAGACATTTAATAATACATTTTATACCATATTGAATATTTACAATGCTGTTTTCATTTAGAACTTTTACAAGGTCTGTCTTCCAGATGTTTTTTTCTGTGATAAAACCCTTCAAGCATTAAATCATTTCCTCCAGACTTAAATGATCTTTATGATAGAAACACATTACTACCATGACATTCTTGAAACACTTCTGCACTTCTAGCACGCAAACCATTTCTTGTATTGCAGTGTTTCTTTGTTACTCACGTGCTAAGATCAGCAATCAGAAGTGCTTTTTCATTATATTTCATGGCTGACAGGATATTTGGCATTCCCACATCTGGTGAGCCTACAGCAGATGTGCAGTATCTCTCTAAGCTGCTGAAATCCCTTTCCTTAATATCTTAGCCTCATATGACTATTTAAGTTTATCCCAGAGCTACATGCATCAATGGAGTGGAATTAAGCTTACTGAACCAGAATCAGTTTTAATGTATCTAATACGTAATAATGAATAATTTAGCGTTTCAATAGATTTTGCTCTGATGATATCTTATCATGTAGCACTATAACCTCATTTACTGCAAGGCATAGAATGGCTTAATGGAGGCATGTTAATTAAGTGGTTTGAATTGCATTCTCATATGGTTCGTTGTACGCAAATGTTCTCAAAACTACATTTGTTTAGAAATTCAATATTTTATATTAATATTCAATACATTCATATATAAAATATATAAAATTCAGTATATTAATCACACACA